ACAAAAAAAAAAAAAAAAAAAAAAAAGCCATTCTAGAGGTAACAAGCTGGGCCCTAAATAATGAGAAGGAGCTAGACACATGAAGATGAGCAAACCAGAAAGTGAGGACAAGTGGAGGGCGGAAGCAGGAAGAAATTGGGGTGTGTTTGCTGGGCAAGGTGGCACATGCTTGCAATCCCAGCACTGGGGAGGCTGAAGAAGGAGGATCCCTGTGAGTTTGAGGCCAGCTAGAGCTGTATAGTGGGACCATCTGAAAACAAAAAAGCAGTTGGGATGTTTAAAGGATCCAGAGACAGCCTAGATTCCTCGAATGCTTTGAGCCGTGTAGACCATTAGAAGCAGGTGAAGCTGGAGAGCCAGGCAAGGCTAGAGGCCAGAGTGAGTAGCTGGAATTGTACTGATTGCAGTGAAAATCCTTGGAGGTTTTAAGCATTTTAAGCAAGAGTGTTTTAATGAGACCAGATCCACTTTCTAGGTGAGGAAGCCATGGGAATGTTGGTTGCCTTTATCCAGGGTTAGCGACTTGCTCTCCTTCTCTTCAGGGCATTGTGAATGAAGTGCGCCAGTCCATGCAGCTGATGCTGAGCCAGCTGATCCAGCAACTGAGGACCAACATCCAGCTCCCCGCCTGTCTCCGTGTCATTGGCTACCTGCGGCGCATGGACATCTTCACTGAGGCTGAGCTGAGGGTGAAATTTCTTCAGGCCCGAGATGCCTGGCTCCGCTCCATCCTGACTGCCATCCCCAGTGATGATCCCTACTTCCATATCACAAAAACCATCGAGGCCTGCCGTGTCCACCTCTTTGACATCATCACACAGTACCGAGCCATCTTCTCCGATGAGGACCCCTTGCTGCCCCCTGCAGTGGGCGAGCACACAGTGAATGAGATCGCCATCTTCCATGGCTGGGTGCTGCAGAAAGTCTCCCAGTTCCTGCAGGTGCTGGAGGCTGACCTCTGCCGGGGCATAGGTGGCCGCCTGGACTCTCTCTTGGGCCAGTGCATGTACTTTGGGCTGTCCTTCAGCCGCGTGGGGGCTGATTTCCGAGGACAGTTAGCTCCCATTTTCCAGCGGGTGGCCTTTACCACTTTTCAGAAAGCAATTCAGGAAGCAGTAGAGAAATTCCAGGATGAGATGAATTCCTACACCCTCATCTCGGCCCCAGCCATCCTGGGCAGCACTAATGTGCCTGCTCCCATGCCAGCTACTCAGCCGGGCACACTGCAGCCGCCAATGGTGCTCTTAGACTTCCCACCCCTTGCCTGCTTCCTCAACAGTATTCTGGTTGCCTTCAATGATCTGCGTCTCTGCTGCCCTGTGGCCCTGGCACAGAACGTGACAGAGACTTTGGAGGATGCCCTTGCCAAGGTGAGCACACACACTCTGGCTTTCTACTACCTTGCCCACCCCCAGTAACGGTGGCCAGACTTGTAAGAAATCAGTTGATATGACAGGGGTGCCTGCTGATTCGGAGAGGTGTGGTAGTTTCAGAAGTTTTTTTCAGTTGGAAAGTTCTGATTAGGCCTCCGCATGGGACCTCAACAAATCTGTGAAGTAGCTCACTTGTGGTAATGACTCAGAGTGTGTTGATTTTCTGTTGCTTTAAAACAAATTCCCACAGATGCATTAGTTTAAAGCAGTATACTATTGCCAGGTGCAACATCCCTGGGTCCTCTGCTCAAGTTTGCAGTCAAGGTGCTGGTGGGCTGTGGTGTCATCTGGAGCTCAGGGTTCCTTTCAGGCTCATTCTGGCTGGCAGGTTTCATTCTGAGGTGCTGCAGTGGTCACAGGACTGAGCCTCTGTTCCTAGAGGATTCCCTCCACAGGAGCCTGCAGCATGGCTGCTTCTGCCTGCAGGAGAGCATCTCCCCCGCTTGAGTCTTGTTTATGTACCCTTTTTAAAAGGGTTATTTGAGTCACACTCATCCAAGATATTCTTCTCGATTAATTCAGTCAGCTGTTTCATTTTCCTGCATTTATCACAGGCCTGGTCCAGCCCCCATGGGTATTAAATCTCGGTGTTCTCCAAATAATTTCATTTCATCCAGTCACCTCTGAAAAAGCCCCAGCAATGACTGCATGAGGCTTTAGGGGCACATCTAGACACAAGCCATAACACTTGTCTTTTAGGTAACTAAAATAATCCTGGCTTTCCATCGTGCGGAAGAGGCTGCCTTCAGTAGTGGGGAGCAAGAGCTCTTTGTCCAGTTCTGCACTGTTTTCCTCGAAGATCTTGTTCCTTATTTAAATCGCTGTCTTCAAGTCCTTTTCCCACCAGCTCAGATAGCACAGACTTTAGGTAAGAGATTTTTGTTGTTGTTGTTGTTGTTTTGAGACGGGGTCTCACTATGTAGTTGAGACTGACCTGGAACTCACTGTGGAGCCCAGGCTGGTCTCAAACTCACAGTGATCATCCTGCCTCAGCCTCCCGAGTGCTGGGATACCAGGTATGTGCCACCACACCCGGCAGTAAGAGAAGATTTTTTAAAACTGCTTTACTTGTATGTAATTCACTTAAGTAAATAAGTCACCCATTTGTATAGGCCGCTGTTTTTTAGCAAACATAGAGGTGTGCAACCACTGCCACCATCCAACTTTTTTTTTCCAGTACTGGGGATCAAACTCAGGACCTTGGACTTGTTAGGCAGGTATGGCACCACTGAGCTAAATCCCTGGCCTACCACCATCCAATTTTATAACATTCTCCATGCATCAGTACTGGGGATAGAACCCAGGGTTCTCTACCTTTGAGCTATATCCCTCATCCCCCTCTTTTTAAAAAATTTTTAAGACAGTCTTGCCAAGTTGCCCAGACAGGACTCAAACTTTTGAGCCTCATGCTTCAGCCTCCTAAAATGTTGGGATTACAGGCATGTGCCACCACCACATCCTTATGTAATTGTTCCTGTGTGTGTGAGAGACACACATCTATATTAACTTTTTTTTTTTTTTGGTACCAGGGATTGAATTCGGGACCTTGCGCTTGCAATGCAGGTGGCGGAACCCCTGAGCTAAATCCCTGGCTGTATTGACTTTTACTAACATTTTGCCATTTCTCTTTCCCTGCCATCTGTTAGGCATTCCACCCGCTCAGCTCTCCAAGTACGGAAACCTTGGGCATGTGAACATCGACATGGTCCAGGAGCCTCTTGCCTTAATTCTGCCACAGAGAGAGATGGTCTTCTCTCTAGACGACCAGGGGCTAGTGCCCGAGCTCACGGCACCCACACCAGAGCTGCCTGCTGAGGGGCCCAGCCTGGAGCCTTCAGCAGCAGCCTGCTCTGAGGGTGAGGTGGTGGAGAGGGAGCCCTTGGAGCCGCCCCAGGAGCTGGCGGAGGGGGAGCAGCTACAGGCTGAGCCTTAGCTAGTGTTGGGCATGTGGGAGGTGGAGCCTTAGCCCACACCGGCTGGGGAGCAGCTCCTAAGGCAGGGGCCGCCACGCCCTGGGCAGGCTCGAGGGGTCACTGGCAGCATGTGGTGTGGGAATACCGATTGCTCTTGTATGAGGCTGGAATGGCAATAAACTTGACTGCTGGCCACAACCTAGCTTGGAGGCTCGAGTCCCGGAAGGCGAGAGGGAGTTCGTTTCTAAAGGAAAATGAGGAAGGATTTCAACTGGTTTTCCTTGGGAGAGCTTTGTCCTGACTGCTTTTCCTTGGACTGGATTCACCTGTTCTCTTCAGCTCTGGTCTTTGCCTTTATAAACGATGGCTGCTGTTCACTTTGGAGGAGCTCTGGTCTTTACTTTTGCCTTGGGCGTTATCTTTTGTCTATCACTGGCCTTTCAGCCTGCCAGCACAGACTCTCTAGCCTCTAGCACTGGTCCTTGGGCTTTCTAGCACAGATTCCTTGGCTTTCTGATATGGGCTTGCACAGGACATTGCCATGGGCTCCAGGCCTTCAGCTGGATTCTTAGCATCTCTAGCATGTGGACAGATCTCTTGTGCTATTATATATTTGATCGGGTCGTGGCCAGCCCGGTGGAGCCGGCGCAGCTGGCGGGGCCGGAGCTGCAGCTGCTGGTGCAGAGGCTGGTACAGGTGATGCGGCGGCGGCGCTGCGTGGGCTTGAGCGCGCCGCAGCTGGGGGTGCCCCTACAAGTGCTGGCGCTGGAGCTCCCCGAAGAGCTCTTCCGGGCCTGTGCGCCGCGCCTGCGCGAGCTCCGCCAGATGGAGCCCTTCCCGCTGCGCGTCCTCGTGAACCCCAGTTTGCGCGTGCTGGACCGAAACCTAGTCACCTTCCCCGAGGGCTGCGAGAGCGTCGCAGGCTTCCTGGCCTACGTGCCCCGCTTCCAGGCTGTGCAGATTTCAGGTGCGGGCGGTGGGGTAGGCTGGACGACACCCGCGAGTTCTAGGAGCTCCAAACGGTTGCCACAGAGCTCTCGGCGCCACATAGGTGGGAGGGGAGGATCCGAAGGGACGGAGACACGAGGTGGGGGGTAGGTGGATCGCGGGTTGGGAGGTGCCCTGATTGTGCTGTCATTTCCAGCCTGGCCTTTGCTTTTTTTTCTTTGGCGGTGCTGGGGATTGAACCCAGAGCCTTCACAATGAGCTACATTCCCGGCCTTTTTCTTTTTTGAGACACGGTCTCGCTACGTAGTTCAGGCTGGCTTTGAACTCGCAGCGATCCTCCTTCCTCAGCCTTCCAAATTATAAGACAGGGCATCGCTAAATTGCCCAGGGTGGGCTCGAACTTGGGATCTTCCAGAGTCTCCCAGAGTGGTGGGCTTACACAGGTGTATCTGTGCCACAATTCCTGGATGCCGCCTCCTCTTCCCTTTTCTCCACCCCAGACAACATTTTGCATGCCTGTCAGACCATAGATGTTCTGTGGAGTACAGTGTTCTGCGGGGTTTGGGATGATTGTTCCTCATGAGCAAGCCAGTTGGTCCAAAAGGGTCAGGGGTCGATGGTGTCCTTTCAGTTTCTGCACTAGGGAAGCGTCTTGTGGAGGGGTGTTCAGAGGAAAGCCTCTTAGCAGGATCTCTCATCCCCACCCCATAGTGAGCCCACCAACCTATGAAAGTTGAGAAACAGGTTGGATGCTTGGGAATGGGCAGAGTTAAGAGTTTTTCGCCTTTGGTGTCCGAGGTGGAATGCAGGGCCTGACACATGCAAGGTAGGCATTGTTCTACTGAACTATTCAACTATACCCCAGCTCAAGTGCTGTTCTCTGGGTCTGTATCTAAACTAGATAGATAGAGATATATATACACTTTTGGGAAGGGTACTGGGGATCAAACCTAGAGCCTTTGCACTAAACTACATCCTCAAGCCTTTTTTTTTATTTTTTATTTTTTTGGTATTGAGGATTGAACTTGGGACCTTGAGCTTGCAAGGCAGGTGGCAGAACCACTCAGCTAAATTCCCAGCCCTTTAATTTTGAGACAGGTTCATGATGAGTTAAGCTCCCCAGGCTGGGCTTGAACTTAAGATCCTCCTGACTCAGCCTTACAAGTGTTGGAATTACTGACATGTATCATTGTGCCCAGTTAATACATTAGCTTTCTGCTGTTGCCTCCTGTAAATAAGAATGGCCAGGACAGGAAACGGCAAAGAGGTTGAGAAAGATGCAGTTCACCATGCCTTACCTCAGTCAGCTTGGCACTTTCTTTGCAGGGCTGGACCCAAGAGGAGAGCAGGTGGTATGGCAGGCAAGTGGCTGGACTGCCCGCATCATCCAGCACGAGATGGACCATTTGCAGGGCTGCCTGTTCATTGACAAAATGGACAGCAAGACATTTACCAATGTCCACTGGATGGAGGTGAATGACTGAAGCTTACCTGCTGGGACTGAGGATCTGGAAAACCAAGGTGCAAACACCTCAGTTTGAACTGGGCACATCTTGGCCTCAATCTGGTGTTGACCCTGATTTGAGAAACAATAAATTGTTAAATGCATGCTGAACCCAACCAGAGGAAGATGCTGGAAATGTTTGCCCTGAAATCAACTCTGGATAACATACTGCCTACAGCTTGAAGAGAAAAGTAGCTCCCTGAAGGAGTGGGCTTTTCTGTGTGGAGAGAAGTGGGACATGGAGATAACCACACTCAACACAAATGATCTCAAAAGACCTGGATAATCTGTTGCCATGCCAAGAGTTATGATAACATAGTCCCCAAATATCTAAAAGCTTGGTTTAAAAATGTAGTGAAGGCTGGGATCGGCCATCTTCTGAGTTTTTACAAAGGGCTGCTTGTGTGTCTGACCTTAAAGTCCTTGGTTGGCCTTAGACACCAGTTGCTTGTGGAAGTAAAACGGGACAATGTAGTCCCAGTTGAAAGACTTAATGACAGCATTAATGTAAATAAGTACCCATATATTTGAACAGGCTCATATACAGTTCCAAAACTGGGAAAGATCAAACTCTCTTGGGAAGCTGGTAGTGGGCTTGTTCCTTGGGCAGAGGCCATGGCACAGGTGTGGGGTGATAAGTGATAGGGAGTGATGAGCCCCCATCCTGTCATAGGGCAGGAATCGAACTGGTGCTTGCTGGTCACCACTTATTTTGAAAGACAAATTAGCATCACACCAAACAGTGTTTGGCTTTAAAGAACTGTCAAAGGAACACCAGAAGTCTTACCCATATTTAGATGGAGGTTTGAGAAGCAGTTTTTTTGTTTTTGGTGCTAGGGATGGAACCTGGGGCCTCATGTGTGCTAAGTACACACTGTTGCTGAGCTGCAACTCCAGCTACTGAAGCTGCTATGGGAAAACAAAATCACCCTGAATCACAGTACACAAGTAGGTTTTTTGACTTTTTGTCTTTTTGGTACCAGGGATTGAACTCAGGACCTCACGCTTGCCACTCATAACTGTGCCAGAGCTAAATCCCCACCCCTAGTACACAAGTAGTAGGAAGTCCATTGAGTTGCTCAGAGAGGTGTTTTAAACAGCAGCCCAGGGAAGGCCCCTTCTCTCTGGCTTTCTCAAGAGGTCCATGCTGCCATGCAGAACTGGTTCCAGCTAGTCAAACTGGAGAGGAGTTGGGAGACTCATCCCTCAGGGAAGTTTGTAGAAAGCTCTTGTTAACACTGAAAACAATCGGTCTGTATGGAGGAGTTGGATGGGGCTCCTTTCATTTGGCCAGTGTTCACAAGTCCTGTGGCTTCCCACATTCTTATGCTTCCTTAGTCTTCAGGGGTCCTCCTTAGTGGCATCTTTGTGATGCTGATCAGCAACAAATCCTTCCGTTTCCAGTAAGGAAAGTCTCTTCCACTCAAGCAGGTACAGTGTGCATCAGCCACAAAAGCCACACAAAGCAACATCTTGAGCTAAAGGAAAGTTTCAGAAATCCACTTCTGCAGTGAAAGCTAATGCAGGCAGTTCAGAACAGACTCCCCTGGTAGAGAGTGACTTGCATTTAAAGGAGGACATTCCTCTGTCCATATTAGTAGATTTATCATTGACGATGTTGAGTTGTGTGCTGGTGGCCCAAGCCCATAGCTTCACTCCCAGGAAGGTTCAGCCTTAGTAGTGGTTCCTGCTACTGATGATGGAAAGAGACAAATGGAAAGGCCGGTGTTTGTCAGCATTCATCTAGAGCCAAGAGGATGAACATAATGGCTCTAAAGTTTCTGTCATCCCTGGGACCTATCAAGGTGCTTAAGCAGTAGAAATGCGGAAGTAGATTTAAAAAGGGGTGGGGGTTAGCTCAGTGGCAACATGCCTGCCTCGCAAGCGCAAGGTCCTGAGTTTGATACATGGTACTGAGAAAGAAAAAAAGTGGGGGACGAGGACCTTCTGACTCAAACAGGTAAAATTTATAAAACAACTAGGTGGAGTGAAGCCCACATGGGGCAGATGATGGCCTTTAATTCTAGAACTAGCAAACGGGCTGAGAGCACCAGAGTGACAAAGATCCTTTCTACACTGCTGCAGAGGTATCACCCTGAGATCAGGTCTGCTGATGCTTCAAAATGTGGGTTTTTTGGAGAGGGGCCTAATTTACCAGTATTGGGAAGCAGCCTTAGAGCCCAACCTTTGAGCTGTTGATCAGAAATTCATGTCAGCAGCCATTCCTAACTAGAGCAAAGAAACCACAGTGCAAAGATAATATGATCTAAGAGCCAGCCACGGAATCAGTTCTGGCCCATTCAGTTTGTAAAACGAGAGAACTGAGGCTGATAGTATAGCTAACTGGTAGAGTTGTACTTCATTCATGAACACTTGGGTTCAACCCAATAAAACAAAACTGACTGATTTTTGGAGGGAGAGAATGGCTAGAATACCCACTTCCCACTCTCCAAGCTTTGTTTCCTGTTTGTCCCATCTGTGCACAGGATGAGCATGGCACTGTCTCTGTTGCATCTACTCCTTATGACATGGCCTTTCCAGGGCTGCCAGCTCTGGAGCTTGGTCACTGTTTCCAGTGGCTGCCTGGCAGGCAACATAATTGAGCAGGGTTGGTAGTCAATTTCAAAACAGGGTGGCCCCTACTCAGCAGCAGCAATAGGCTGCCGCATGGGATATAGGCTCAGCATTACCTAATCTTCCAGAAGCCAGGAAAAAAAAATATTTTTTTAGGTACCAGGGATTGAACTTGGGACCTTGTGCTTGGTGGCAGGCAGTGGCACCACTGAGCTAAATCCCTAGCCCCAAGAAGTCAGAAATTTGAATCTGGATTTTAAATGTTGACTGTAGACCAAACAGTTGCAGGCCACCTCTGGCCCACAGGCGTCCTTGTTCGCAGTCTCTGATGTGAACAGGAGTAAGTGCTGTTCAGTTTTTTTAAACATCCCTAGCCCAAATTCCAGGCCACTAGGAAACTGACTGGAGGTCAGGCCTAGGGACAGCAGCAGCGGGGAGCACTGCTTACTTCCTACTCTGAAGAAAGGAGGGAGAAAATCAGGGTCTTCTTATTGGAAGCAAGAGTGGCCTTCAAAGAGGCTCAGACAAGAGTCAAAATGAGGTGAGTTGTTCAGAAGGGAAAGGATTTATTAGACATCTCCAGGACAAGGCCCCGGGGCAGTGGCCAGGCTCAGTGTTCTTACACCCAGGAAGAGAAGGCAGCAGTGAAGACTGCCTGCCTGCCTTCTGATCAAAGCGGCTTTGTGCTCCTCCTCCTCCTGCAAGGAAGATATGGGCCCTGGATGCAAACCGGGAGCGTAGGGAATGGCTTTTCCTACTTTCATCAGTCTTCTCCAAGGGCCGAAGTTGGGCATAAGAGGAGCAGGGGCTGGGGCCTGGCTGCTCACCCTCCTTGACACCTCTAGGTAATTTTATTTATAAACAAGACAGAAATCAAAGCAGCATTAATATAGGACGGCAAAACAAAAGGTGGAGGGGCAGGGAAAGGAGTCGGTAAACATCCAGGAGGCAGAAGTAGGGAGGGCCAGTGTCCACCCAGTGCAGAACGAGCAGCGGAGTCTGTGTTGTGAGGCCTTCCTTCCTCCTCCCTGGCTGGCAGTCGGATGGCGGAGGAGCCGCCGTAGTGACTACAGGGAGCCCTGGAGCCCTGTCTGGCCACTGACTTAGGGAGTGCCGTAGATTTGCCGCAGCCTACTTCCCACCTTCACCCACGTGAAGAGGCTTTTAACTCTCCTGTCCAAAGTCCTCTGAGAATTTCTTCACTTTCAGGAGGTCATCTGCATTCACCGTGGGCCGGGTGGTGGCCAAAGACCGGAGCATGTCGGACTGCAAAGGCAAGAGCATGTGGCTGAGAAGCAGCCAGGCCAGGTCCTCAGTCTCCCCTTGCACTGCTGTACTGCCCAGGTGGTAAGAGGCCGGCCTTTGAAGCCACCCTACACACACTGTGCAGAACACCCTCCAGCTGCCCTGCTGACCCTGGATGCGGCATGGACCTTTCTTCCTGAAGTCAGCGTGTCATTTCCAGATAGCTGCCTTCCCATTTCAGAGAACTCAGGCTCCATTCTCCCAACTCTCACCTGTACCCTCCTTAACTGTATGCCCACCACAGTGATCCCAGCACAGACATCTGCCAGTAAAAATGGGTACTGTGACTGGCAATACTAGCAAACAGAGGTTCAGACTACTTGGGCAAGAGGCTGCCTTTGCCACTGCATCAAATCCAGCCATGCTGATGTAACTTTACCCCTTCTTTCTGGATCTAATAAGCCAAACTTCAAAAATGACAGAGTCTAATTTTGTGACTACTCTTCTGCTGAAGAACAGAAAATGTAAACACTACTGCTGCTGTCCTGGCAGTAGTCTCAGCTACCCAAAACCTGCAAAGGCCATCCTGTCTCAAAGAAGCAATGAGAGCCCAGGACATTGAAGGAAAACAGCTGTTTTATTCCTGTACCAGGCCCCGTTTTCTTGGCTCTGCGGTCCTCCCTCCCACCTGGTTACTTACCATGCAAACCACAGGCTCTAAGAGTTTGTCACCAGGGACATCCATCCAAGTCATCTCTATGGCCCCTGGGTCCCCTGGTGAGCATGGAGTCAGGAGGTCATCGATCATGATGCTAGGGTTGGTGCGGGAAGGGCCACAGACCTGAAACCAAGCAGGATTTGAAACTTAGCAGGAGTCTGACAGGCTGCTGTAGCTGCCCTCAGAGTAATGAGGACAGGACAAATCAGATTTCTAAGGGCAACCTTGGAGAGGGGATGGTAGGGTTGTAGGTTTTGGGGGCCGGAGGAGGGACAGGCTCCTTCAAAACTTCTGAGCTGAGTGGTCGAAGTGGCTCCAAGTCTGACTTCAAAGGTTCACTGACAGGTGCCCCTCCAGCCTCTGGTCTCCAGAATCTCAACTTCTCACCTCCTCCTGGATCCCAACGAGACTTACCCAGCTGCAGCTGTGGCAAAAATGGCTTTCCTTCTGAAATCTGCAGTACTGGCAAAACATGTGCCCAGTAGCCCTAGGCTCCTTCCCTCACCTTCTCCAGTTCGAGCCTAGAATACCACAACGTATGGCCTGTCTTTTAATAATGCAACCTGCACAGCCCTCCAAACCTCAGTAGTTCCTGGTCTCCCTTACCCTGTGCTGGCTCCCTGTCATCATCCTCTAAGGAAGCAGCTTTTAGCTATCTCACCTTACATGAAGGGAGGTTCCTGGGTTTTTTGTTTTGTTTTTTTGAGACAGGGTCTAACTGTGTAGTTCAGGCTAGTCCTCAACCCCTGTAGCCTAGGCTAGCCTTGAATTCATCATGATCCTCCTGCCTCAGCCTCTTGTGTGCTGGGATTATAGGCATGTGAGACCATGCCCCGCTGAAGGGAGGTTACAGGGCAGAGGTTTTTTCTGCTGTGGTCACTAATGTCTCCTCAGTGCCTACAACAATGCCAGGCACATAACGGACCCACAGGAGACACTCAACGAAAGATCTCTTGCTGGACTGGGATGTAGCTCTGCAGCACCGCAGCTGCCTGGCAAGCATAAGGTCCTGAGTTCGATTCCCAGTACACCCTCCTCCCCACAAAGAGATCTCCTGAACAAGTGGGTGAATCCAATTCTTTATTTAGGTTTTTTGAGACAGGGTCTAGCTATGCAGTTCAGGCTGGCCTTGATTTGAACTAACTACGTAGACCAAGCTGGCCTCAAACTCATGGTGATTCTCCTGCCTCAGCCTACCGAGGGCTGGGATTACAGGTGTGCACCAAGATGCCCGGTAAATCTCTACTTTAGACCTGTGCTTTTCAAGCATTTTCTTGGTGTGCACCCTGCCCAAAGGCACAGTGAAGTTGAGGCTGCAGAGTTGTGAAAATACTGCTTTGTCCTCTGCTTTCTCACAATTAGAGATAATTGCACTCAAGGAAGAGCTGCAAGGAAGGCAGGGCAGGTACAGCTCTGCCCTGGCTTTTGCCCTGGTTCTCCGGAGACAGGATAAATCCCCTGAGAATCCAGGGAAACTGATGACCCCTCATTCTAATGACACTAAGCTTTTCTGGGGAACTGGGGAGGGTCCTGGGGACTGAACCCAAAGCTTTGACCCTGGGCCACATCCCCAACACCTTTTTTATTTTTGAGACAGAGCTTTGCTAAGTCCCTAAGTTGTCCAGGCTGGACTTGAACTTGGTGAACCTGCCTCAGTGTTCTACAGTGCACCATTATGCCCAGCACCACTCACTTTCTTGAAGTGCGTTGCTGACTGGACTTTTCTGACAGGCTGCATGAGGGAGTCCCGCACAATGATGCTGATGTCTGCACCTGAGTAGCCTTCTGTCTTCCGGGCCAGCTCATGGATGTTGGCATCTGTGAGGTTGTGGGGAGTGCTCCCCAGATGCAACCGGAACATCTGGGCACGGGCAGCTTCCTCAGGCAATGGGATATAAATACGCTTTTCAAACCTAGAAAGCAAAGGACATGGCAGGAATCACCGAATGGTGTTAGTGGCAGGGGGAGCACAGAGACTGAAATGAGATGCAGTTCCAGGCCTGCACTACTGGCACCAAGGCCCTTACGAAACTGGCTTCACTGAGGGTTCTGCTCGACACTCAGACCTGGAGGACTGCAGGGAATGGGGTTGGATCCACCCACAGGCTGCCCCACGTGGGAGGAGACTGCAGCCCTGTCCCTGCTGGGGAAGACTCACCTCCTTCTAATGGCTGAATCCAACACCCAGGGGATGTTTGTGGCACCAAGAACCAGAGTCCCATCGTTGTTGTTCCCCACCCCTGAGAAGGGAAACACAGAATCTGAGGGCACTGTAGTGTTGGTCATAATCTGCTGGACAGACCCTGGGGCTTTGTTCGTCATCACCTGAAGCCATCCCTGTGCCACCACTCTCAGGGTCCTGACTGAAATTAAACTAGTCTGGATGTGGCAGGGCAAAGAGACTACAAAGCTGCCTGTCCCAGCAGGGGCCACAGGAACCTCTGCAGTGAAAGCCCACCTGAGGACTCAAGACGGCACCTCGAGGTGCTTCTCCACCCCAGGACAATCAAATCCCGCCATGGCAAAACAGTGATGCCCTGGCTTGGCTTGGTGGAGCCATAACTGAAGGGGGCAGCCAGGACTGGGACGCACCCTGCATCTGGACCAGGAACTCTGTTTTGATCCTCCGGGCAGCCTCGCTCTCATTTTCATTTCGAGACCCACAGAGGGAGTCCACCTCGTCGATGAAGATGATGGAGGGCTTGTGCTGCCTGGCCAGCTCAAAGAGGTTCTTCACGAGCCTGGGAGGGGACAGCAGCTTAGGATCTGGCCACTCCCGAACATGCCAAGTTCTAGTCACCCCCACTCCTGCCCTTCCCTCAAGAAAAATGGTGGTGACAGATGCTCTGCACCAAGGGGAAGTATAGGCCTTGGCATAACTTCAGTTCAGCTCTGGACTCAGGACAAGTTATTTCCTCTCCTCTGATCCTCACTTTCCTCATGTACAAATGGAATCCAGTGTGGGGAACAGGTAAATGTATCCAGTACCTCAACAGGAGATCCTGGGCAGACATGCTGGCACCTTTCCCTTCCTTCTTGAGTACTCCATCTCTCCTGGGTTCCCTTCCAGGTTCACCCGTCTGTCAGGACAGGGTCCCAACCAAAAAGCTGGCCTAGTCTCACTGTCCTTGCTAGTGTCCTAGCTCTTCTGGGAGGTGACCCCAAGGGACAGGGAAGCCGGGCCACCACAGCTGCCTGACTTACTTCTCACTCTCCCCCAACCACTTAGACATCAGATCAGAGGAGGACACAGAGAAGAAGGTGGAGTTGTTGGCCTCTGTTGCCACAGCTTTGGCCAGATAGGATTTCCCTGTGCCAGGGGGTCCAAAGAGCAGGATCCCTCGCCAAGGGGTACGCTTGCCTGCAATAAAGAATAAACCCACGTTAGCTTCCTGACTGGGAAAAGGGGAAAGAAAAAAGAAGATGGGGGTGGGTCTTCAGTCACTGTAAACGCAGTAAGAAACAGTTCTATAAAGCAGCTAATCCTAGGAGCAAAGGTGTGAAGGGACCTAAGGACCTGCTGAGAGCACAGTCCTAAACCTTGCTTGACCATTGTGCCTATCCCCAACCCCGGAATGCTCACCTCAAAGTTCCTGTCACAAAAATGTTTTCTTTTCCTTTTTCAGGACTGGAGATCCAACGCTGAGCCTTGTGCATGCTAGGCAAGCACTCTAACACTGAGCTACACGTGATGGTGGGGAGCAGGCCCATGGCCCTTCCTGACAGCACATGTGTGAGACAAGGTCCCACTCCCTGCGGGCCAAGGTTGCCAAAGCCATCTGCTTTGGGACACTTCAGAGTGGACCCCATGCTGGCTCCCACAGTAGCCTGAGTTTACATCTGCACCTTCCAGGCTCAGCTCTTACCTGTGAACAAGTGTGGGAATTTAATTGG